CCAAGCCCACCCCTTGCTCCTCATTCATGTTGATGCTAATGGGATGCCATTTAACACAGCTCAGGAAAATTCACAAAGTCAGACTGCTCGGGAAGAACCTTTGATCAAAGACGGACAGATCACAGCGCTCCAGGGGTTGGTTTAAAATAAGTAGTAATATGACATGTTTCCCTCTGTTGTGAGTTAAAGCTCTAAAGTGCATTTGCATACTCTAGGGGAAGAAACTCGGCACTCTGGAACAGAACAAGCAGATATGAAGAAAACTACTACCTCGTCGATGATAACACTCGTTTTAATTCTATACAGCTAGTGGGTTCCAAAAGAGAAATTTAGGTCCCACCTATTCTCTGGGATTTGGCTGCATGTGTAATTCCTTGGGGCTCTTCGCTGAATGAGAGGGCTGATATCTTCCTACATTCTATAGATGGAGGTTAGTTTACTAGCTGTGAGGCCTTGGGCAGGTTATTTAACTTCTCTGAGTTTCAGCCTCCCTATTTGTATTTTAGAGAGAGTAATTCCCCATATTTACTCAGAGGATGGTTGTGTGGATTAACTGAACGCATGCAGAGCATTTAGCACAGTGCCAGGTGCAGAGTGGTGGCCAGTAAGGATTGTTCTTATTATCAATTTACATTTAGCTTCCCTCTACTGCTTTTTTCACCTCATTTCCTGAAGCCAGATAAATACTAGAAGTTTAGGGACTGCTTAAGTAGCAGAAGTTTTGATATTGGCAGCAACGTTGTCCCAGTGGCTCTAGACCCTGGGGGACTCCGGCTTTGCTGACTCTAGTACTCGCACCCACGCGGTAGCTGTCTCCGTTCAGGCTGCTGTAACGAATATGCCATACACTGGGCGGCTTATAGAACAACCATTTATTTATCACAGTTCTGGAGGCCATCGGGAAGTCCAAGATCAAGGTGCCGACAGATCCAGTGTCAGGTGAGGCCCGCTTTCTGGTTTGCAGACGGCCATCTTCTCATTGTATCCCCACCTGGCAGAGAACAGAGAGAGAAAGCAAGCTCTCTTGTGAGTCTCTTATAAGGGCACTAATCCCGTTCATGAGTGCTCCACCCTCATGAACTAATTACCTCCCAAAGGCCCCACCTCCTAATACCACCACCTTAGGGATTAGGCTTCACCATAAGAATTTTAGGAGGACACAAACACCAGTCCATAGCAGCAGCCCTATTTTGGGCCAGCTCCCTTCTCTACCCCTGCCTGAGTGCTTTTCATAGAGCATGAGAACTTCCATAAGAGCTTAAATAAACCTTTCCCACATATAGGCATATTTAAAACTTATTAAGCAAATTTGCCAATTTAAAGGAACTAGGGAAGATGTCACAAAATAAATCATAATTTTATACTTTAGTAATTGTCTCTGTTTAGATTTTTCATGTATTTAATACACTTTTAAAAAAAATGTGGGATGTTCTTGGTTCTAAAGTGACAGGATGAGTTTTAGAAGACTACTCTAGAAGGAATAAAAATAGTGACAAAAAGGAAGAGAAGAAAGAGGTGAAGAAGTGAGAGAGCTGGACATATATATATGTATATATCTCCAACAGAAGCGCATATCCATTGATTTTAATTTTTAAACAACTTTATTGAGCTATAATTTACACACCATAAAAATTTCCCATTGTAAATGTATAATTCAATGATTTTAGCATATTTGCAGAATTGTTCATCTATCATAGGAATCCACTTCTAGAACATTTCCATCAGTTCAAAAAGAAACCTCATGTCCGTTAGTGGTCACTCCCCATTCTTCACCCCCAGCCTGAATCAACGACTAATCTATTTTCTGTTTCTATAGATTTGCCTATTCTGGACATTTCATTTGAATGGAATTATATAGTGTGTGGTCTTTTGTGTCTGGCTTCTTTCACTAAGCATAATGTTTTTGAGATTTGTCCATGTTGGATTATGTATCAGTTCTTAATTCTTTGCACTGATTTTTTTAAAGAAAACCTATAATTTTATTTTAATTTTCAGGTGAAAATGTCTGATTTTAAGTCTCTGCTGAGAAATGTAAGACATGGATACAGTTACTTATAAAAGAATAACATAAAATCTGCATAAACTAGTGCATTCAATAAAGCCTTAGTGACGTGAATGAAATGAGAAAACAGTTTCAAACAGACAGTAGAATTGACTATTAAAAGGTAAGTAAGGTTACTTGGTACTAATATTAGTTGAGAAAAAACACCCTGAATAAAGCAATTAGAAAAGGTAAAGGAGAGAAAATCTTTCTTCGGACAGTTAAAACAGAGCTTAGGGTAATGAAGGCCTCCTTATGGGCACTGGATAGTGAAATCTTAGGGCTGAAAGTTTCCATGGACTTTTGGAAGCCATATGACGAATCAATAACTAATTCAAGATGTAGTCACAATCTACCCAAGGAAGAATGGTGGGCAAAATTCGTCAAGGGGACAACCCCATCTCCCAATTTTTTTTTTTACTAGACTTTACTTTTTAGAGCAGTTTTAGGTTCACAGAAAAGTCGAGCAGAAGGTACAGAGATTTCCCATATACCCCCTGCCCCTACACATGTATAGCCTCCCCCATTATCAACATCCCCACCAAGAGTGGTACATTCGTTACAACTGATGAACCTACACTGACACATCATTATCGTCCAGAGTTCTTCGTTTATATTAGGATTCACTCTTGGTGTTGTACGGTCTATGTGTTTGTATCCACCATTTTAGCGTCATACACGGTGCTTTCACTGCCCTAAAGATCCTCTGTGATTTGCCTATTCATCCCTCCCTCCTCCCAACCTCTGGCAACCACTGATCTTTTAACTCTGTTCATAGTTTTCCCTCTTCCAGAATGTCATTTGGTTGGGATCATACAGTATGTGACCTTTTCAGATTGGTTTCTTTCACTTAGTAATATGCATTTAGTTTCCTCCATGTCTTTTCATGGCTCCATAGCTCATTTCTTTTCAGTGCTGAATAATATTCCATTGTCCGGATGTACCACAGTTTATTTATCCCTTCACCTACTGAAGGACATCTTGGTTGCTTCCAAGTTTTGACAATTATGAACAAAGCTGTTTTAAACATCCATGTGCAGGCTCTTGTGTGGCATAAGTTTCCAACTCTTTTGGGTAAATACCAAGGAGCTCGATGGCTGGATCATGCGCTAAGACTGTTTAGTTTTGTAATGTCTTATATTTGTACCTTTATTGGCACTGTTTTCCTGCTTTTTGAACAAAGTTTCAGGCATTTTTCTTTCACATTGGGCCCTGCATCTTGTGTAGCTGGCCTTGCCAGGGGCCCATTTGAGGGACAAGGAACTGGGCTGGTGGCTAGCAGCTATGATGGGTTGGAAGGAACAAATTAGCCAAATGAGGGCTAAGTTTGGAGGTCATGGGTGCCTAAATGATGGATATGGGGGGCAAAACTTGAGAGAGGTAAGCTGATGTATGGACATGAACACACGGGAGGGTAAATATCGCACGGAAACCCAGCATCACACCAGTGGGGAGTCTTTTCCTTACTTTGAGAGTGCATTTTATTTCATTTTACTTTTTGCAATTAAAAGATAAGGGAAAAAAGTTAACAAAAGGCCTTTTGAAATGTTTTGCGAGAGGTCCAGATGTGTACATGTTCTCATAACCCCTCCCAGATCTTCCCTACATTTGCCCTCGTATTCAGCAAACATCATGGAATAACAGCACAGGAAGTAGACTCAATGTTATTTGGTGAGAAATCAGTTACTTTTTGTAATACAAGTAATAGAATAAAACTTTAATTGCAAGTTTGAATGATACTTAATTCAGTACACATATAAATACAAAAATAAGAAGTCCTCATATATGACATGACGTATGTATTAAATAATATTGACTATTAATTTTCAAAAGCATGTTAATTCAGAGCAAAGTCTTAAAAATCCATCCAAAGTCCAGCTTGTTGAATTCCAATATTGATTTTTAGTATTTTAGGGTGCTAGCAAATAGTTTCGTTTTCCTCTGTGGTAGCACACTGGCAAAACTCCAGTTCACCTAAGTAGGTTAAGGATGGCAATCTTCAGCCTGAACTCTGCATTTTCCTAGTTGAAGGTGCCTCTCGATATATTCTTCCCTCGATACAGAGAGATTTACACTTATAACTTTTAGAATATGGTGATGAAAATATTATCCCTGACTTTTTTGGCTATGAAGAGATCATCCTTTACTTTGTGTCGAGTATTTGAGTTCCAATTCTCATCTTAGTTACCACGGCATAAATAACATGAAAACATCCATGACTGAAAATGCATTTTTCTATTCTTGCCATTTTTTTCTTACTGCCATTTTTTAATTTGTCAGCTAAAATGTGATGAATATATTATGTTAACTGAAAGTTATTAAATTTTTTGGAGAATTGAGGAAAATATAGATATCTTACCACATTTCAATATTTCTAAATATCCAAGGTTGTATTTGATCTAAAAGGGAACAATGCCCTACTACTACGATTTTCAACTCCTTCCTGGTCTCTCTTGCTTTAACACCTTGCTTAGCCATCTTTACACATTATTCTGACTCAACAGTCCTGGGGGCTCAAAGAGCAACCAGTGATCTCTAGGTGAGAGGTCACAAACCACGGCCACATCCCAACCTCTGCTGCCTGCTTTTGTAAACAAACTTTCATTGGAATGCAGTTATACCCATTGGTCTATCTGTTGTCTATGTCTGATTTTACATTACAACAAGAGTTGAACAGCAGAGAGAGAGAGAGCTCACATGGCTTATAAAGCTGAAAATATTTACTATCTGGCCCTTTACGGGAAGTTGCTGACCCCTGCTACTGTGTGCTCTGTCTTATTTGCTCTGTTTTTTTTTGTTTTTTTTTTTTAAAGATTTTATTTTTTCCTTTTTCTCCCCAAAGCCCCCGGTACATAGTTGTATATTCTTCTTTGTGGGTTCTTCTAGTTGTGGTATGTGGGACGCTGCCTCAGCGTGGTTTGATGAGCAGTGCCATGTCTGCGCCCAGGATTCGAACCAATGAAACACTGGGCCGCCTGCAGCGGAGCGCGCGAACTTAACCACTCGGCCACGGGGCCAGCCCCCTTATTTGCTCTGTTTGAAAAGAGAGGCTAACATATGTCCAGTTTCAGAAGAAAAATAACATGAAGTAAGCCCCATACTGTAGTTTTGTCCATTTACTGTTGTCACTCATTCATTGACGTAAGTGTACTCTTCCCATCGTCCTGTTCTCCAGGCAGGTGGAATGAGTAAAACATGGCACGAGATGATTCAACCCAAAATAGCACTTTTTAAGCTACAGGATCCTCTCATGGTATAAAGTCATTTTCAACCTTAAAGTGTGGAAGCAAATCAGCAATAAAGCCCCTTGTGGTAAATCAGAGTTTTCTTTATATTTCTTTAAAACTGCAAACCAAAGGTTTGGGACTTCAAACTTCCATGCACTCTCAGGAATATTATCTCACTTGAGCTTCAAAATGAGCTTCAAAATCCTTTGAGGTACACAAGGATAAAGTATTACCATTTTACAGATGAGGAAACAAAGGCAGAGGTGCCAAGTGTATATTTTAAGGTCAAGGTTAGTAAGTGAGAAATTTAGTCCTAATGCAAATACTGATGCTTGATTCAGCGGCATTTCGGACTGCCTCTTGGCTTTCTCCATCTTGTTTTACTGTCAATCATGTACGTTATTAGTTCCTGAGAATCTTCCACTTGCCAGGCGCTTTATACACAACGTCGTTTGATTCTCACACAATGCTTTGAGGTTGTTGGTATTATACACATTGTATAGAGGAAGAAACTGGAATCAGAAAGGCTAAGTAACTTGCCCAAGATGACACAGCCAGTAAATCTGTCGGACCCCAAAATGCAAACTCTTTCTTCTCCACCACAGCTGGGCATCAGCGCAGAGCTGGCTTGAAATTTGATGATTCAACGGGAGAAAAAGTCTGTTTAAAGCCTATGATAATGTATATGAATTTTTCAGATTTTTTTAGAAACAAATTTTCTTATTATAATTTTCTTACTTAAGTGAATACTACCTAGATGTAGATGATCAAAAATTAAATAGACAAAATAGTAGAGAAAATGGAATGATTTTTTAAATTCTAGGTTTACGATTGGCATAGACTAATCTATCACTCATCTAGCTGGTTGGCTAGCCAGCTTCTAGCAATTTGGCAGCCAATGTGCGTGAGACAGGAAAAATAATGAACAAATTCACGAAACTTGTTTATTTGTAAGTAATTTTCATTTACTTGTTTGATATCTCCACTTGCCACACCTCCCTGTCAGTTAAGATGGCAATTCCAGATCTACGCTTTTCTGATCTTCTCTACAGGGACCCCTACTCAATTTTTCACATAGTGCTGCTGAAAATTAAAAGTATTAGAAATTCCTCAAGCTGATAAAGATTCTTCACATTAGAGGCCTCAAGGAAGTTATGGCTCAATAATTTCACCCTTTTTTCTGTTATTGTTACAGTTTGCCTTAGGTTCTAAGAGACAAGATATCTTTTGTAGGGTGACCAGCTGTCAGTTGCCCAGGATGGAGGGTCCTTCGGCAGGCAGGAATTTCAGTGCTGAAACCAGAACAGGGGAAAATCTAAAATAATAACCTGTTGTGTAATTAAGTACCAAACTTTTAAAACTCTGGGACTCTAATCACAATTTTTGTTTCAAATTATCCATGTTATTTAGAAAAAGATAACTTAACATTTCATCTAAAAAGAATATTAATGTCCGTCATAAATCTTTTTTTAAATATTAAAATATATCATATTTTTTAAGGGAAAGAGAGGTTTCAGCTAGTAACCTCACACAGAAGATTCCCCTAGCCCTGGCCCCTCTTAATTGATACAATCTACGCATTCAAAAGTGAAACACTGAGGCGCTGGCCAGTGATGCAATGGTTAAGTTCTCACATTCCACTTTGGTGGCCCGGGGTTCGCAGGTTCGGATCCCAGGTGTGGACATGGCACCGCTCATCAAGCCATGCTGTGGTAGGCATCCCACATATAAAGTAGAGGAAGATGGGCACGGATGTTAGCTCAGGGCCAGTCTTCCTCAGCAAAACAGAGGAGGATTGGCGGTAGATGTTAGCTCAGGGCTAATCTTCCTCAAAAAAAAAAAAAGTGAAACACTGAAATTGGGGATTCCCAGTGACTAATAGAGGATTAATAAAGTAACCCAAGAAAATTTTAAAATTTTGCAGGGTTTGTGATAGAGATCTAACTTCATTTTCTTCTACATGGGACATGATTTTTGTCAGGACCGTTTATTAAGCTACTCTTTTCTCACTGAATTGAAATGACACATTTATTATACGAACTTGGATCTATGGGTGAACATTCTAATGAGTTCTTGATTGTTCTAGCTGTGTGTCATTGTCATATTGTTTTGATCACAGTAGCTTTATAGTAGGTTTTATATCTGGGACACATTTTACCTTTTTAAAACATCTTTTGTGGCAATTCTGATTATTGTTTCAGATGAATATATGCATCTGTGTATATACATATATATTTCAGATATATATGTGCATATAAATGTGATATATATGTGCACATATATACCACACACACACATTCCAGTTCCAAGAAAAAAAATACATATGTATTAGTTCTAAGAAAATCCTTTTGGGATTTTGACTGGAATTGAATTAAATGTATATATTAATTTGGAAAAAAGTAGTATTTTTTTATCATGTCATCTTCCATCCAGGACACAGTATACCTTTACATTTATTCATGTCTTGCCTATGTCCTTTAATAAAATGTTATGATTTTTCTCTGTAGGCTCTTTCTTGTTCACTTTATGCTTGAATATGTTTTAGCTCACTGACATTATCTGAACTACCTCTTCCGTGGGCTGTGCTAATCTGTGCTGTCCGACACAACAGCCACCAGCCACAGGTGGCTATCTAAACTTCAGTTAGAAAAGATTAAATATAGTTCAAAATTCAGTTCCAGTTTTAACTAGCTGTTGCTATATTTTCTTTAAAAATTTATGTCTAGCTACTTTCCCAATTTAACTATTCTTATTAATTCGTATCATTTATAACAGAGTCTCACTAATATTCTAGGTATGTAATCAAATCATCTGAGGGTATTTAGGAAGACATCTGGGTCACGTCGAGGTGGGACAAGAACTGTTTACACACACAAGTTAGAAAACTCAAAGCCATAAATGATGGGCTTGGCCACCTACGATTTAAACATTTCTGTATAATAATAATGGCTATCATCTTCTGGGCATTGTTTTAAGAAGTTTACATTTAGACAATGCTCAGGGTATGCTGGCGAAAAATCGGTTCTATTACTTTTGACAACCATTAGGATCAGCTAGCAGTCTTGGTCATAGGCACCTGGGGAGTTTCAGTAACGAAAGCAGGAGTCTTAGGATTGAAGCCAAGCAAAGATGGAATTTGAGGAGAGGTGGGATGGCCAGAGAGAGGAAAGGAGCCTTCACTTCCTTGGTGAGTGACCGTATAAGGACCATGGTTGGGTAATTATGGCTTCTGATGGCTAATGGGAAAACAAGCAGTATAGGAGGCAGTGGGAGCAGAAAGGAATCAAACATATCAGCAAATTCCATTTTAGGGAGCACAATATAAGAGATGTAAAAAGGCCAAAATCTCGGGCTGGCCCAGTAGTGTAGTGGTGAAGTTCCCATGCTCTGCTTTGGCGGCCCGGGGTTCGCCAGCCAGATCCCGGGCATGGACCTACACACACTTATCAAGCCATGCTGTGGCAGGCATCCCACATATAAAGTAGAGGAAGGCTGGCACAAATGTTAGCTCAGGGCTAATCTTCCTCAGCAGAAAAAGAGGAGGATTGGCAGCAGAGGTTAGCTCAGGGCTAATCTTTGTCAAAAAAGAAAAAAAAAAAAAGAGCCAAAATCTCTCCTACTTAACCCAATATAAGGAGAACAGGTTACCTGAACTTTATGGGGGCCGCTGTGTGTGGTTGTGGGTCAGCGAAGGTGTAGAAAGAGCATCAGCATTGCTTTTCCAGTCAAGTGATCAAAAGCCTGTTGTCTTGAATTCAGTGCAGGCTTTGGCCAAGCTATATCCCCTCCGCATTGACATAGTACAACTGGAGACCATCATCCACCCTGAAGAACACCTCTTGGCCTGCCTGAGGACCTAGACCTTTCCACTACTCAACCCAGACAACCAGAATGCAGTGTTCAAAAGCAGTTTTCACTGTCCTGCCAGGGGCCTTTTAATAAGCTAATGACAGAAACTTTCTGTCACCACTGTGAACATCAAACAATATAATAACTAGTCCCTGGATTCCTCATCATGCTGTCCTGTAACAGCCAGAGAATCTGCATGTCACATTAAGTGGTGGTGTTAGCATCAAACCATGTGAACAATCCTGAAACAGCTGCATCTTAGGAAAAAAACCACCCACCTTACTAAGCTGTGCTCGATGTCCTGCAGATAACAGTCCCTCCACCAGGGGGCTCTAGCTCACTGACGTTACCTGGATCTAACCCTTCCATGGACTATGCTACATCTGTGCTGTCCGGTATGAGGGCCACCGGTCACACGGGGTGATCGAAATTTAAATGGGTTAAGATCAAATAAAATTTAAAATTCAGTTCCTCAGCTGCACTAAACACATTTTAAGTGCTCAATAGCCACAATGTGGCTATTGGTTCCTATATTGGACAGTACTAACAGTCCAGAAAGTTCTAGTGCACAGTGTCATAGTAAGTCCTGTAAGTTTAATGTATCAATGTCGAAATACTAGTTCAGGATCTCACTGTTAAAAGGGCAAAGAGGCAGCACCTCCCCTCAGCGCCCCTGCTGAGTCTCCAGCACTGGGTTTGAATCCTCCCTCTATCCAGGTGGTGTTCTTTGTGATTACATTCAACATATTTCCCCCTCACAGCCAGCATGTTATTTGGCTTTAATAATTCATAGATATCATTTTGTGTTTTCCTTATAGCATTAACTAGTTGTTTAGACTATATTAGAAGATAATAGCTTTTTTAATATAAGTATCATTTTCCCTTATATTTAAGATGGAATTGTGACCTTAGGAGATATTACTAATTCCATTCTTTATTGCTGATGTATCACGAGTAGTTCATCACTTTGGTGAGAATATTTCACAGTAACGACGTGGCTTTATTCCAAGGACCTCCATTATAGACTTAATCTAATGTTGTGGTCATTACAAAAGCAAACCTCACTAGGGGGCTCCCTGAATTATTCCTCTGTGTGAGATACCCTTCCTTGAAACGGATGTCACTTTGTTTTCTAGAAACATAGACACAGGCTGTATTCTCTGTTCTACACACTCACATTCTGAACAAGTGATTTAAAATTTTTTTTTATTTTAAAGAAAAAGATGAGCTTCTTTTCAGGTTTACCATTGCTGCTTCTCTCAGACTCAAGATGAAAATATTTTTGTACCTGGGGTTTCTCTTGCAGAGAGCGTTCATCCTTCAGGGAGTGGGCCACATCCTCGCCCATTTGCATGTAGTCCCTGGTTTATCACGTCTATAATTCGCAGTGGGCTGAATATGGGGAAAGTCGAGGAGAAGACGGAGTTTAAGGAGAGAATTGTGAGCAGGAGGAAGCAGTGATTAAAATGGAAATGGTGGTTTTGGAGCCTCTGTTGTTTCCCCAGGCGCTTTGTTGGCGGAAATTAAAAAAAAAAAAAAAACTTTTCTATCCAACTCCACCTGAATTCTTTCAACTACAATGATGCAAAGAAAATACACGCTAATTATGAGCAGGAACATTATCTATTAATATGTTAATGAAGCAGGTTTGCTAATGGTGCAAGACCTGAATTTTAATAAAATTTTAAGAGCTTCTTGATTACGTGTTTGTTAGTCGATATGATCATTTAAAATTATCTCTAGGTGGCTTTACATGGAATAAAACCTGCATTAGAACTGTATCCTAAACAGGCCTTAATGAAGCAGGTGAGAATACCATCTGCGACATAAACACCGTCAGCCAGAAATTCACTTCAAAAGAAATGTAAACTAGTTAACAGGAAACATGTTATCATATCTGCCAGGAACAGCTTTCAATGCAGGTAATTTATTTATGCATTTACTTGCTAATTTTTTCAAACATATTTGCTTATGAAAATAATGTTCGATTGAATTAATAGATACTGCGTTTCAATATTGGAAGGGTTATTTTTCATTAAAAAAAAAAACAACTCTAGTGTCCTGTTTTGACAACATCCCATATATAGAAGAAAACTGTTTTATCCACCCAAACCCAGATATCTTTTGAGGAAAAGACAGTCACCAAAAATCCCAGAGTCAAACCAGAATTGGCACAGAAACCTCGCTGATGTGTCTCTGAATAGGAGACATTGTGTTAGCTGTTCTCCAAGATAACTACAGCATCAACATGACAGATAATCCCTATCTGCCTTTCCAGAATGGGAGTGAAGGCACTTGGCATCAATCCTTCACTTTGCATATTAGAAGCATGAGGCCCTGATTAGTGGTTGAGCCTGGATTACAACCCAGGGCTTCTGAAGAGTGAGCAGACACTGAGGAGGCAGAATGGAGCCCCGGGTGCAGAACACCAGAGTGATGAGCCCAAGGAGCCTGGGCGAGGCTGGCCTGGAGCATCTGAAGGGTGTGTGCAATGTTGTATCATTCGGGGTTGTGGTCTGGGTGTGGGTGGGGCCCATTGTGTATGAGGCAGCCATGAAGGCGTTAGGGAGGAAAGGCAAAAGTTAATCCTAGGAACCAAGGAAGGGCCGCTCAGAACCCAGCCTCGAGTGCCTGAAGCACCCACGGGCTTAACAGGCCAAGAATGAAGGGAAGTGCAGGAGTAGGTGAGCGGGATGAGGAAAAGCAGGGACCTCTAACTCTCGCCTTGTCGTTCTGAGTTTTGAAGAGAGGCTGCAGAGGAGAGGTTATGACGGGAAATCACTTTTGAAGAAGCAACTCCACCTGAGAAACCAGACATGCTTCCTCCTGAGCAGAGTCCCTTTAGGAAAGGTGACACGCAGTCACCAGGTGTCTTAATTTCCTGGGTATTGTAATGCTATTCATTTGATGGTGTCAATAAAACATACTTCTGTGTCAGCCACTAGAAATTGATAATACTCTCTTAAATTCTTGACAGTGTTTCTAATGAGATTTTTGAGGGTCCTTTTCTAAGGTGGATGAGAAACAATTCAGGAAGGTAATTGACCATTTAAATGGCTTCTAACTGGCCCTGGGTGAGTTTCCCTGAGGGCATGCTGCCCTCTAGGGGTCGGAGCCGCCTGGAGAGGATTCCAGAACTGCAGGAGCCTTGTTTAGGGGAACTCAGTGCTGTCCTAGAGGTTTGATTTTTCATAAAAGTGATGCAATCTTTTCATCCAATTGTATTTCAGCTCTAGAAAAATTGTATTTCATAGAAAGTATCACCTATTCTAAAGACGATTCTAAATAAAGCAATATCAGAGTCGATGTCGTCCTTTTTTCCCTTATTTCTCTTTTTTTAAGAATTAGCATTTGCCATGCGGTGGGGTGGGTGGGGACAGAGGGAAAATGTACAGGCATTTTTTTAAACCATAATACTCCAGTTCCCGATTATTCAGTGCGGAAGTGTCTCGCCCTCTATTGGCGGCTAGCGTCAGTCGGGCTTTCCAACTGCAGCCATGTCTGACTCTCACCTAAATCTCACGGAGCTGCTAAGGGCCTGGGGCCAACAATCAGCAGAATCTGTACCTGATCCCAAGTGTCCTTCTTCCAAAACCAGCGCACTTCCCATTGTGCCACCAGAGAACCGGCTATCGCTTAGCTTTAAATAACTTGTTATTTGACACTTTTCTTTTTATGCTTCTCTGATTTTGTACAGTAATCACGGCTTTAGTTTTTTTTTAAATAAATGAAAGGATTTACAGATAGATAAACACATGACAGCCATTCATTTTATCATTTGGCAACACATTGACCCAAAAGCTCGATTTTGCTGACATAGCCTAGAAAGAAAACCAAATAAGAAGATTAGGATGGCAGTGTAGGCTAAGGGCTAGAGAGAAATCAGATTCTAAAGACTCAGGGATGGGCCAGAAAAACTTACAAGAACAAGAGAAAACAAAACTGGAGGCATGGAGTAAACTACAAGAAAAATGGCATAAAATAATTCAAAGGTAGAATTCTGACCTCCTGCAGCTGGGGTGCTTCTTAAATCCTAGGAGGACCGATCAGAGAATCGTGGGCCTTTCTAGGTGGGATGTGTGCTCCTTCCCTGGGGGCTGCTCCCAGCTGGGACACCTCTCCTCCTTTCCCCTGCCACCCACCCCCAGCCCACACTAAACATCAGCGACACAAAGACACAAAGGTCAGGGCAGGCTGTAAACCCCTCTTGCTGCTACAGATGCTGTGTTAGTGGAGAGGGAGTTTGTGCAGGGGAAAGCCACAGCACAGAGAAGGGGAATTCTCCAGTAATAAACAGCCGCAGCTGGCACTTTACACGCAGTGTGCCCTACACATACACACATGAATAGTAAGTCATAATATCATCGCAGAATCTTAGATTTGAAAAAGACTTTACTAATTGGTTTCCTAACCCAGCTATCTAAATGCACCAATCTTTGAGCTTCCCGAGGAATCCCCTAACTTTCAGCAAGTCTCTGCCTAAATTACATTCACTGAAATATGCCTTTATCTTGACATCCACTGGTCCCAGCGCTGGCTGGTGCTCGTGGATCTGACAGCAAATATTTACAGTCGGATATATCTTTTCTAAATCCTGTTTTGTTATACGTAATAACAAGGAAGAAGCCCACCCCCGCCTCCCTCTTGATGACCACCCTCTCCCCATTCCCACCATCTCTCCCTAATACATTGTACAGAGCGCACATGTACCAGGTGGCTGCTTTTCTGATGATGGCGTTGATGTTATCGGTGATTTTCACAACTTCTGAAAATGTCTTCTTGAAGTGGAACAAACAATGCTGACAAAGCTCTAAACAAGAGAAATCAAACCGTGTAGCGTCCTCTTCTTTTGCAAAAGAAACTGCTAGAGGAAGAAAAAAATCCATTATTTAATGCTTGAAGTTGCTTTGGAATGTGGTTTGGGATAGTCTCTTCTCTTTTGAATGGAGCTGCTTTTAAACAAATCAGGTATAAACTGGTCTGTGTGTGTGCGTGTGTGTGTGTGCGTGTGTGTGTGTATTCAGAGAGAAAGAGAGTTGAGGTCGCTCCCTCTCCCTGCTGTCCAGCCTGATGCATCCTGCTGCAATTTCGGGCCAGTTCCTCCAGTCTGGACCTCAATCAAATGGACGATAGGCACTCAACACCTCCACACCTTCCTCTCATCTCTTTTTCCTTTGTAGGTTTTTGAGTAACTTCTTTTCCTCCCAAAAGTTTTCTTTAGCTTTTGGGGATTTCTTTCTCAAATCTTTTATAAATTTAATTATCTTTCTCTGGAAAATGCGGCTTATGTTATAGGTTCAGCAAAATGGAGATGTAATATTCATCACCTCTATCTAATGCCGAAATTAAAGAGGAATATCACAAAGTTTATAAAGTGTTAGAATTTTATTATTTTTCAACAACACTGGATTTCTTAAGACTCATCTTCTTCTGTTGAGCGTCGTCATCCCGGTCCTCATTTTAAACCAGTTTAAGATCAGAGCTCTTACTATAACTGACGGCTGCATTAACTTGTTTGGGCATAAAGAACTAAATGACCTAGAGTGAAATTACTGAGAAGAAATTTCCCAAGAAAATGGTATATCTGCTTTTCCTCTTCCCCTCGACACCAGTTTGGTTCTAATTTAAGGTCAGGAATGGAGGTTTATGATCTCCCTATCCCAGGCCCAACCCCACTCATCTCAGCGGAAAAAACGTTAGAAGCCTGACTCAGTGTCTCAGCTCAGACCCCTCCAGGAATGCCTCAATCTCCTCTCTGCCCAGCCCAGGCCTGGGTCTCAAGCTTTGAGGCTTCATTCATTCATACACATTTTCACACATTTCCTGAAAGACTGTCATGTGCCAAGCATCGTACTAGGTGCTGATAATACAAGAGCGAACACAATTTACATGGTCCCTGTCCTCGTGGCAAGTGAGAGGAGTAAATAGGCATTTATAGAAGTGTGGTTAGAGCTGTGATGGGGAAGCAGAGAGTGCCATGAAGACTGAGCGGGTCCCCGAGGCCGACCTGGATTGGGGGACAGTCAGGAGAAACCTCTCTGAGGAGGCTATGCTTCAACCAAGGTCTGAAGCATCCTTTGAACAAGAAGGAATAAGGGTGAAGCACTAGAAAGAAGAGCTTGATGTCTTTAAAGAAGTGGGGGAAATTCAGTATAACTGCCTGTGCTGTGGAACTGTGTGCATGGCGGGGAGGGGTTCGGTGAGGGTAGGGCATTGGGAGGAGGGAGTGGCTCATGGCAAGAAATGCGACTCAATAATAGCTATCTTCCATGTTAGGAAGTTTGGGCTGATTCTACAAGTACAGGCACACCTCGTTTTATTGCGCTCTGCAAATATTGCATTTTTTTTACAAGACCCTCCGCCAGCAAAAAGATTATGACTTGCTGAAGGCTCAGATGATGGTTAGCAGTTTTAGCAATAAAGCATTTTTAAATTAAGGTCTGTACATTGTTTTCTTAGACATAATGCTTTTGGAGACTTAATAGACTACAGTATAGTGGAAACATAACTTTTATATGCACTGAGAAACCAAAAAATTCACATGGCTCACTTTATTGGAGGTGTGCCACTGCAGAGTGTTGAACAGGTGAGCGCTAAGATCAGACATGTGTCATATAAACATCACTGAATACAGCGTGGAGAAGGAAAGTACAACTAGAAGCAAGGAGGAGACTGCAGTAACCCAGCTGAGAGAAGACGGGGACCAACGCACTGCAATGGCTCTGATGCCTGGCCCCTCGACCCGTGCCTGCCCCAGAGTCTCCTGGAATCATTGTATCTGCCCGCTCTCATTCCCCAATGAAGGGAAATCTCTGTGAGGTGGGTCATTTTCTTATTTCTTGACTATTAATAATATTTTTTATTATCTGTATTTTATGATGCTTTGCTATCTTGGGGCCTTGTGGACAGTGGAGGGACTGGCCCTCCCAGGGTTAGCTAATTCCTAGAGAGAGCAAACAACTTGGCTGCAAGCACACCTTCCACATGCAAACTAACCAATCCAGAGCCCGTACTCCAAACCACCTCCTCATCTGATTTTTATGCTCCAGGAGGCATACTCCTCTGCCCTATTCGCTCTAGGGCCAGGTACTGGACAACTAGGGGCCACCCCTATAGCCCAGAGCCTACTGAAATTATTCAAACTATCCAATCCTATGCCTGACCAGCTGCTTACCCTGTGTTGCAGATTCCTTCCCACAAAAACCACAATAAAGGCTCTTGCCCGTGCTTTCCCCTCACTCCTTCTGACTGACCCTGCCACTTCCCCATGTGGCCCGGGGTGACGAGGCATTCCCCCTTCTCCTGGAAACAGTGCTTAACAAGGTATCTGGCAAGTGTCTCGTGATCTGTTGTCCTCACCACACCTGAATAAAAACAAAATCCTGGGTGCATCTTAAAACAAATTGCATCTCACCCAGGTGAGCCTCGTGCTGAGAAAGTCTTGAGAATCCATGACTAATTTTCTTTAGACTTAAAATACTACATAGTTCACTTAGTGCTCTTGCATGTTGCCCTACTTGTGTCATCAATAGTAGTTTCATGAGTTCTGGAGGAGAGTTAACAGTCTTTTGTGAATCTTAAATACAGGTATATTAGATTTCACAATCTGGAGATCATTGGTGGCCTTGATGCAAAGAGTTTCAGCAGAATGGTGGAGCACAAGCTTATTAGAGTAAGTCTACAGGAGACTGGCAGATTTCTCCTTTGACCAAGAAGAATTAGCAGCAACAGGAATTACCCTTCAATATAAACTTGATAAAACAGATGAAACAATGGTTTTCAGACATTTGACAATAGGCAGCATAGGACTGTCATCATTGAGAGAAAGGAAACAAATGAGATGAGCTTTAGGATCTCCTAGCTTACCGTTTAGAGCCAACTTCAGGCCATACTGCAGGGGAAAGGGAACCCAAGGAACCTGACACTCCTACTGAGGTGAAGAGAACAACATCAAAGTCCGAGGATACCAAGACGGCTAGATTTATAAGGCAAAGTCCTGAAAAGGAGAGTGTTAGCTCAGCGACAATTTTCCTCACCGAAAAAAAAAAAAAAAAAAAAAGACAAGTGCCTTCTGTGGAATGGAGTAGGGACTATATCTATTCAGTGCCTATCAGACATTATTCATGCATTTAATACTCATATTAATCACATGTGGTAGACGGTATTATCTCAAGATGAAGCTCTAAGGGACCAAAGCTAAAAGTAATTTCACACAATTCATGTGGCAACCAACATTCAGTTTTTTCCCTCCAAACCAAGGATTGCTCAATTCCCAAGTCCATGTTCTTTCCACTCTATCATACTGCCTTCTGAAAGAAGGAGTTAAGTTTAGTTGCAGCTTTAGATAGGACGGCCCCAGGTGAATTCTTTACTTGTATTCCATCAGTTAGGGAAAGGCAAGGTAGGAATTCTGTAACTGAAATCATCTGCAGAAAGAAAAAGAGTTAGTGACTTGCACAGTAGGGCATTTCCTAGCAAAACAGATAGTCTACAGAAAGCTCCAAGGCAGGATGATGAAGGCACAGAGACCTCCCTGAGATGAGATGAGGGTTCGAAGTTTTAGTGCGTAAAGAGATGTGGGGAGAGAGGAAGTCTTGGTAAAGAAACCTTATTGCCGTGTTAGAACTCACCCAAGTAAGAAACTGACAGCCAGTTCCTTCTGCCTATGTCCTTTGGTCCAGCTTCATAGTCTGATTTTCGCCTTGTTAAAGGCAGGAATGGTTGTGGGTTCCAATGCCTGACTCTTGGTAGAGGGAAGAATCTGAGGCTTCAGAAAAGAGGAAACTGAGGGATAAAGGAGATTTGTGCTTTCCAAACCAATATGCTCTCCATCATTTCTCCTTGGGGTTTTAATTTACAAATATATAAATGAGATATTTCCCTTGCACTTTTAATAGCTAACCTTAGTCTACTATTTATTACACCATTATTCTATTAACGAGAAACCAAATGTCATATGAAAATAGTATATTCAAGAGCATAGCTTCTTTATTTTCCATATTATTTCATATGGCAAGGAAATAGTCCATATTTCTATATTTTCCATATTACAAAGAAAATGTTGTTTTTAGGAGAAAAACAAAATATCCCTCCTACATGGGTCTGACAAGTGAGATTTATAAACTAGTTTCTCTTTCTCATTAAAAGAACTGAACATTTCCAAAATCTGCTCCACACTCACTCATATCTGTATTGTATGCACGTACAGAATATTTACATACTTAAAAGTTATAAGTTAATAAGACAGTTGTGGAATTAGGTTGATCAGCTGTTAGGCGTCCCTGAGGTATTTGAGTACGTGTTCACTTTCAGTGGTGAACTGGGTGAAGAAAGAGAAGATTCTTGTAACGTTCCCTGGACGACAAAACTCTGGGAGCTCTATTTTATTCTGTTAGTGTCTCTGCTCTTACACACCCCCAAACTGATAAAATGATTAGCCTTATTCCAGATGTTTCATCCACAAACATGGAAAATAAGAAAATCCTACCCTATCTCTATGTTTTGACTTGAGTTAAACATGAACCGTTCCCCTCAGTGAATTAGGAGCACCGTCGAACACTTGGCAGACAGACAACTGACTCCATCACTGTGATTAGCCAGTAAGAACAGTTTCCCCGAAAACTCGTTCCTTCTCTACTCACCACACCAGGTTTCTTCTGTTTTTTCCCGGTACTTTGTGTCTCTTGGTCTAAATTTCCATTTTGCTGTAAGAAAGCTCTCTTGTTGTTGCACTGATGCTTATCTGAAGGTGTCTGACCCCAACATGTTCCGATGATTCAGGGTTGCCTCTAGTTGAGGATTTACCTCCCAAGAGGTAATTTAAACCCAAGCTGATAACTTCTTTAGGAGGAAGAGCTGCTTAAAACATCGTCCTTCAGCAAAGCTGGAGGAGGAACGTATAACAGGCATCTCAGGTGAGAGCTTCAAGGGCCCTTTAAATGGACTGTTTGGCATCTTTGTTTCCGGTTTAATTTGCAAACAGCCTCCACTCCCCTTCCTACTGAATTCTGCCAAGTATCCTATCCAGCCTCTAGGAAAGGAGAAGCGGGGGGGGGGGGGGGGCAGTTGGTACTGGAAGGAGAGAGAAGGGACAGTCCAACTCAGAGCTTTTAGCCAAGGAAATGCAGTTGAAAATGCAGGAGGAAATGAAGCCACAGCAGCTTTTGAAATTAGAGGACCTCGATAAAGACCCAGAGATTTTTATTGGCCCATAGGGCAGGGTACTGAAGAGAAAATGATCTTCTGTCTCTAAAACGTGATATTACTTTTCTGGATAAACAATAAAAACTCTCCACTGGATATGGTTGGAAAAAATGAGAACCCCTGTGCTTGAAAATCCGGGGTAGATGTGAGACCGTTTAACAGCCTAATCGATTCTTCTGGTTAGATCACCACTCTACGGATCAGCATTGAAGGGAATGCTTTCACTTCTTTGGTGAGCTTACAGACTGAGTCACGTGAATGGTGGGTACATAGTAGAAAGGGGAATGTCATATACCTTCAGCTATTAGTCTGGGCGGGGGCTTGGAGGGGAGTTAACAGGTGAAGAATTGTAATTCTGAAAATACTTAAGGTACCATTTAGTAAATCCCCTCCCACATCATGGCTTGGAAAAATGATGAGTGACCTGGAGGGATACGGTTTCTCATGTAGACTTTGAATACTAAGTGATACAATCACATCCATGGAAATGACCAAGCCCTGGGGTAGGGACAGTACTCAGCATTCAAAAGCTCCTTTAACTGTCTATTGTTCATGTTTGCAGATAACCTGCCTAGACTGGTTAACTGAAACACTCAGAACAGACAAGCATAGTTAACAAACCATTTAACCATGCTAAGCCCATAATTATCCTGCCTGGGCACTTTATTACTAAGTCTAAAATGCTGTAAAGGTAGTGAAGTGTGAGAGTGTGTGTGTGTGTGTGTGTGTGTTTTGAAGAGGCAAATTAATTGTGTCAACAGGCAAGAGAATAATATACATCTAAACACCACCATTAGAAGGGAAGGCGTAGGTTAACCTGGGCTCAAATAACTTCTTTCTAACACATCAGTAGCACCTTACCTAAGATTCTAAAGTGCTAAATTGGTCAGATAAGAGATGTGCTAAGATGTAAGATCCTTTGAACAATGAGAAAAGAAAAGTGAAGTGAAAATTGCTATCTCTGCCCACAAGAGATGTAAGTGAGATGAAGCGAAAATGTTTACAATCGAAGAAGAGAGAGAAAATGGGAAGAGGATGATATTTAACAATAAAGACACCACTGGAGACCTAGGGAGAAAAGGATGTCTGGGGAAAGGGCTTGGGAAGCCAAAGTCATAAAGCTCCCCAGGGATCTGGGCCTGGGGGGTTGGGAAAGCTCACAGGAGCTTATCAGAGTCAGCAGCCAACCAAAGGCAGAGAGGACAATTGGTGTCAAGGCAGCAGCAGCAGATGTTTTTCTGGAAGAAGAATGGTGGAATGATAGTCACGGGAAAATATTGTGACCTGCAGACAAGAGCTGTGTTTCACTGACAGCTGGACAAGAACGCACACAAACAGACATGGGGAAACACAGAGGCTGTGTCCAAAAGCTGGAAGTTTGGTAGATGGGGAGGGAGTGAAAGAGGAAGGGAGGGAGGCAGAAAGATACTAAAAACACGTCTCTTAGAGAAGCATCTGTAAGGTAACCAGGACTGCCGACTGAGGGAAATAAAACATAAACCAAGAATGGGAAGTCATTGCCCCCACATGGTTAAAAGTGTGTGATCTGGAGCTGGACCGCTTGGGTTCAGATCCTCTCTGTCACTTACTAGCTGTGTGACCCTGGACTAGTTATTTAGAACGTCTTTGGCCTTCAGTTTCCTCATCTGTAAAGTGGGAATAGTTGTACCATCTTATGGGTTGTTGTGAAGACTGAATGAGTTAATATGAGCAAAAGAACTTAGAATGTTGCCTGGTACACAGGACATGTCAATAACTGTTAGCAACTACTGTGACATCATGTGATCAGCGTCTCTGAGTGGCCCTGAGCTGTGCAGGGTGCTTTTGGCATGCTCTCTCACTCTTCCAGACTATCCATGAGACACGTCTATGACGGTTGGGTAGTCCACATATGGTCACCACATCAAGATTATAATGGTCCCCCTTCAGGGAAGCCTGCAGGGTTGCTTAAATGTGGGTGAAGCTGAGGACAATGGTAATGTTCTATGAAGTCCACAACTGCTATGGACAAGTCACTTACTCCTACATTGAACCTCAGTTTCCTCTCTGTAAAATGGGGGCATTCGACATACAGTGCAGGAGTTTCTATGAGATCAACCATGAAAGTACCTAGAACCATGCCTGGAACACCGGAAATGTCAATAAACATTTGCTGAGTGCGACTCTGCCGTGGGATGCTGGTGATGGGTGCCAGGTCTGAAACACTCTCCTCCTGGGAGGGAGAGCCCAGCTGTTAGCCACTGGCAGAGAGGCCTCAGGGTTAGCTTCTCTGCCCAGAGCCTGGAAGAACTGATTTTTCAGGTCAGAAAGGACATTGGCATTTATCTTTTCCAGTTTATCACAGGTGTGAACAGAAGACAAGTGACAGCCTGAGTCTCTAAAATGGGTCACTGGCGAGGCGAGTTCATTGTTAACTCTCCCCTATGGCTCTTCCTGAGGAGCAAAGGAAACGGCAACAGTTATACATGACGGCTCCTGAGGCCAACGTTATAGGAAGTCCCTGCCCACCTCCTGCCCAGGACACAGGCTGGCTCGCTGGTGGGCATCCTGCTACGGCTCTGCCCACCTCGCTCGCTGGGAAGCCAGTAAATGGTCTTTCTCACAGGCAACCACTGGATGAATTTCATTGAGGACATGCTCCCGGACACCACCTCTCTCCAAAGTCCAGACTCCTTAGTCCTATGGGGCTCAGAGCTCAGAGGCTCTCTCCACCTTGCACACCCCAAGACCTGCTTTCTCTGGAGCTCCAGGAAAAGAAAAGACAAGAAATTGAACAGGTGGTGATTTTGTACTTTCTCCCCAAGAATATTCCGGTCTTTGTCACCATCAATAGCAGGAAACAAGCTACAAATCTTTACCTCCTTTCTTGGGGAAAACACCCCTTCAGGAAGAAGAACACGGAAGAGCCAGGCTCCCAGCCAGCCGACACAGGGACATGTCCCCACCCGGGCCACCTCCAGAAATCTTTTCCTCCTTTTCTTTCCCATCTGCTCTGCCAGGGCGAACTGGAAAGCCCCCAGGGCAGTTTCCAGTATATGTCTTACAATGTCCAGGCTCCATCCCCAGCAATCATTTATTAGAAAGAGGTTTTATGATACAAATTTGATAATCTCCCATGCACACTGGCACTGTTCTAATTGAAGTTGTAAGCCCATAAAATTCAAGCCCTTTGTCTTCCTGAAGGCCACAAGGTTTAAAAAGATACTATTGTCCTCCCTAACACCCACTACATTGTCACCAGGGACTGATTAAACAGAGTCCTGAATGGAAACAGTGCGGATTTTGTCTAGGTCCTTTTCAGGCCTGACAATGCCCTTTTCAGTTCCCAAGACAAAAGGAGGTTTAAGGATCGAGATTCTTCTAAGATAACGGCATCCATATGGAAGGCAAGGTGGCCAGCAGCTGAGACCCAAACACCCCACTCCCTTCCCCCTCTGCCCTCCTCTCTCTCTCCCCACCCCCCAAAATCCCAGGTGATAACACTGCCTGAGCCGCCCTTCCTCCTCCTCTTGGGACAGGAAAGCCAGGGCCCCAAACAGGTCGGATGCCTACTCAGAGACCTCAGTGAGCCCTTGCTCCCGCCCCTGGATCCGACCGAATATGCTCTGCTCACACGCATCTCCCTGCAGAGAGGTCGTCACTTCTCGGAGAGTGACCACCGCACAGGAGGCCCTGTGGCTCCGGAAAGCAAGGCGAAGAGCAGGGCTGGGGCACTAGATCGCCCAGCCTAGCGTGCACTGGGACCGCGGGCAAAATGAGACCAGCGGATCCCAGAGCCATGGCTAGGCCACTGGGGCTCTCCAAAGCTGTCCTCCCTCAGGTGGCAGCCCTGAGGCGGGTCATTCCCCATCACCCTTTGATTTCCTTACCACGCCACCCCCTCCCCATCCCACCCCGGGGACCAGGTGTGGCGTCAAGTCGCGGCAGGAAATCACAGGTGCCAAATGAGGCACGTGCAGGCTTAACTGGGGGACACAAATTCTCCGGGTGCTCTTCGGGCCCCTGAACCCTCGGCTGCCGCCCTCTGGAAACGGACGGCTTGCAGCCAGGCCCCGGTGGCTGCGGGCCGCCCCGCAGGCTCATCTCCGGAGAATCCCTACAGAGCAGCTCATTATGCCGGATTGTGGCCAACTGGGTTGACTTTCGGTGTGTGAAACGCCGGCAGCTCCAGGAGTCCGGAGGGGCCTCCGCATCACTTCGGGGCCAAAGCGACCTCCCCCTAACAGGGACCCCAAGGTTGCCTCTGCTCCCCCCCCCCCATCTTCCTAGGCCGTGTTGGGACTGCCATCTGCCCGTCGACCCAACTCGGGGTGGACCTTCACCGAGGCGGTCAAGGAGTGGACTGGCGCCCCAGCTCAGGTCGGGCAAGCACAGCTCCCATCTCCCTTCCCGGCAGGCGCGCAAGGGGACCCAACCCTACACATTTTATTCTCGCACCACAAAGAGGAAAAATATTCTATTTCTTTTAAAATAAGTTGCTTCCCATACAAATAGCTATTTTAAAATATACAAATAAAGTTCAAGCAATAAAATCTAGCTCTGGGGCTGGCGGTAGAGGGAAGAGGCGAGCGGGGATCCGGGCGAAGGCTCCCCGCGTGCGGGCTGCAGAGGGCGGAGCGGAGCCCGCAGGGAGGCGGCCCGGGGAGCGCCCCAGGCCTCGGGCTCCAGGATCGCTGCGGCCGCAGAGCGCGCTCCCAGGTCCGCGCCCCGCTGCTGCCTCACCAGTTCCAGGAGACCAGCGCGGGGGGCGCTAAGTGCTGGTAGGCGGGGAAGAGGCCGAGCGCCGCGCCGGGCCCGAAGGCCGCGTAGCCCGGCAGGGGGCGGGCGGCGGCCGGGGGCGCGGCGCTCTTGGC